ATCGAGCTGCACTGACAATTCACACATTTTCAATCGGAAGCACTGAAAGTAAAATGAAAAATAGAACAAAAGATAATCAGATGGGAAAATGGGGCATACGTCAGTAAGATTCACAACACACTAGGGAAGTTGGTCTAGAGCACGAAAAAACTTGAACTTGGCTGGTCACAGAGGACGACAAGCCAAATCGACTCTTTAAACTGCTTAATGGTAAACTGCCCAGCCAATCACTGACAAAACATGTGATGATCGTCAAAGCTTGCTTTTCCAGTTCACCGGCAAAATGTAGGATATCTCGGCGGAGAATGCCTTTGTCACACTAATGCTCAGTAAATATTTTCTGCTGCACTGGCGGCAAACGTGTAACATTGACCTAAGCAACAAAAAAATCGTACATCGAAGGCATCGTAGTGTTCCATCGGTGTGCAGTTCATTTCGAGCTTCAGCGCCGGCACTACAACTTGCGTATCGCTGTGACCCGATTCGCCGCTGCTCACTGCGCCTTGCTGGCAGAACAGCACTTGCCATCGATCAGTCGCCAGCAGTTGGTTGTCAGCCTGCAATCACTCTCCTCAATAACGCAACAAAACTGCAAAACTGAAGGGGCCTTTTCGGGCAAATTATAATACTGGTGAGTTGTAAAATACCTGAATAACTTCAACACTGCCTGTGATTTGATGCGTACGACCTTGCCGATTCACATGCAGCACTATGCCTTGAAACCTCGCATAAATCAATTCTTCGTGTAAACCGTTAATGAATGACAGACCGATACCTAAAAGTGCGGCAAAAAAGTGTACTTTTTTGAGAGTGATACGATCAATTCGCAATGCAGACACAAAAGTTAGGTACCGAAATGCTTCGTATTCACTCTCTGTTAGAGGAAGAAACAATCGAGAGTGGTTCGAGCGGTAGCAATTCTCAGTCGCAGTACTTGCTGGTAAGGTCGTCGATCTTTTCAACGCTGTTTCGTAGTCAACTAATGACAGGCCTGCACCAAATTAACATTTAAACGAATCAACAATTCGTACAGGGCTTGGCTGCCCTACCCGTCAGTCGAATCCGCGGTCTACAGCTGGAAATTAGGAATGAAATATTTAGGAAAGAAACCGTTGCGCATCGAGACATTCACTTCGAAGTCGCATACTTTGCTGCATCCTGGACCATCCGCAGCGGCTGCAGCACAAGCCAGCAGTAACTCCGGTGCCTGATGAAACCGCTGCACTGCTCGATAAGGTTTCGCTCTATCAGTTATCCGAACAACCTGCAATTTCGATAGAAATAATTAAAATTTTTTACACGTTAAAAAACGCAACTTTTGCAAATGAACTGCTAATAAACAGATGCCTAAAGAAAATAACAGAATTTCAGCAGAGTATACGTGCCGTCTGGGAGAACAAGATTTGTACTGTCAGCTGGAGCAATTTCTGCGCAGCAAGTGGCAGAAATGTTCAGACAATTGATGAGAAATTTAATCGATTTGAAGTCTACTCGTACGGGACAGCGTGCTAGCAAACTAGCTCGCAAAATATTAATTTCTGCAGGAAGAAGCAACAATACAGGTAATTTACACTGGCGGATATATTTAAAGTTAAAGAGTGCTTTAAAAAAATACCAGGGTAGGTCCTCTGTACAAGCATTCAACGTCCAAAATGCCACTGCCTGGTCGTTGCGACTGTAGCTCCCAGACCTGCTCGACAGGCACTCCATTCCTACTTCGAGGCGAATTCTTGTTCGGGGCAGCAAGTACCACTTCTGTTTTGCGCGCTTCAACAAACATTCCTTCTATTTTACAACGCAGCTGCCTTTCCTGTAAAATTTAACGCATGAACTGAAGCGAATCATTTCCAAATCTCCTCAAAGCGGAGTTCTTTTCGTATAATTTGATATTCCTGAGTCATTTAATATTCCTGAGTCTTTTAGTCTACATCTTCAGTGCACAATGTCTTCTGATAATGCTCTACTGATGTTCCGTTAACCTAGACAATTATCGGTTTAACGAGCAGCGTGTTTTCGTCAGTGAAATTTACATCTCACGGCTATGACTGACTGCTGCACGACACTCACAAGATACAGCGTTTTATAATTTCTATAAAAACAAGAACAAATTTTGCAAGCATCATTCTCGCTACACTACGAATCTGTTCTCACACTTCTTAGGAACTATATTTGGCAGTGAAACGCAGATGCTGTCAACAAGACGGATGACGAATGTTTGCCACTCTTACGGCATCATGGATGCTATCAAATTTGCACCAACCACCAATTCCTTATCGTGCAGTGTTAGCTTCAGCTTTCCCAACTTTACAAGTCCAACTGCAAAATAGGGTTATGTCGAAATTTCGTGTCACCTTCGAACTCATTTTCCAGCCAGACAAAAAACATTAAAACACATCACTCCGCAAGAGGACCTCATGCAACTTGGGCAAAGCGGCAAAAAGAATAAATGGCCAACGCACGGGCTGCCCGTGCGAACATGCGTTTTTTGCAGAGTTCTCCGCAGGTTTTTGTCGCTACCGGCATCGGTTTTTCGGCAGATGCTTCTAGCTGAAAGAATCTGAGACTGGCCGCCAGAACTGTCAGGAAACATCCCCTGAAAATTCCAGTCTTCTAGTTTCTCACGTTCTCGAGTAATTAACTTGCCCGAAGAACTTTTCACGGGCCTGTACGTAGGTACCACGCTTACCCGCGAGCAGGGTTTGAACTCGTTAATACCCACATAGACAGGGAACACCCTCCTAAGATTCCAGCTCTCTAGCTTCTCAGAACTCCGAGTTATTAATTTACGCGGGAAGAATTTTGGGGGGCCTGTACGCGGGTACCACGCC